ATCTATCTATCTATCTATCTATCTATCTATGTTTTTTTTTCCATATTTCCAGATCAAAATGTAAATAAAACATTGTTGTTTCCTAAGATATTGCCTCTTAACATGTTTTAATTGGTTGCTGTTAGGTTATTTTACCAAAAAGAAATGTTTTCTCTTATTTAACATTTTAATGTTTCAAATTATCCCACAATCATTCAGATTAGACAAAAATACCCTGACAGAATACAAGATGCAGTTTTTAAACAATTTTACTTGTTAAGGATAGAAGGCTGAATAACTCAACCAGGCACTGTTTGAAAAGGGCATTGAAACCCTTTTTAGACTAATGACTTTTGAGATGATTTAGACAACTATATTTTCTTAGACAGCTTCTATTTAGAAGACTTTTTGATCTGACTGGTCTGGTAATAATCAGGCCTAGCTGTGTCTTGAGTAAAATCAACTAATCATAACAAAAAAAAAAAAAAAGAATGAAAAGAGTAAAGGGAAAACATCATTTTAACAGCATTTTGGGATGTTAAGTGTTGTAATCATCAATAAGGAGTATTTGTTCCCACTAAAATCCATCTGTAACATCCTAATAGATGTCTGTCTTTCTATCTGTATGCTGAGTGTCTGTTTTCCTTTATTAAACACACTCAGCAGCAATGCCAACATATTCATCTTTCAGGAAGTCGTTTGGCTAATTATTTACAGTATAATAGTATTTAACTAAAGTTTAATCACTTTTATAAAGAAAAGGGAACAAATAATAGCACTCTAAAGTCTTGCTGAGTCGTTGGCATTGGTTTTAAACTGCATGCCTTGTTGGTGCATGTCCTCAGATTCCTAAACCCTCACATGGATGTCACCTATCGGTCATCTTGTCTTCATTTTCCCTCCCAGTCAGATGAAGACATTGCTTTATTTATAGGAGGATATGCTGAATATCATGCTTTATGTTTTTTCTTATTTTTTGTGCTCTATTATTTGTTTGTGATTTAGGTGCTACATTTTGTTGTCTGGTTTAAATCATTTTTTTTTTGCCTTTCTTTGCTAACACCCATAGGGGGCGGCATTCCACATGGTGTGTTTTCCAAGATGGGGCCGGGGGGTAACGTGTGCCCACTAACCGAGCACGAGCCACTCTGGATGGACAAGCATGAAGCTGTCCAGCCTTCCCATGACACTTGCAAAAGGCACAATAAACTTCAGGCACACGCTGAAAGCGGAAAGGGGGCCAGGGTTGCTGGTTCAGGCTCTACAGAGCAGAAACCCCTCGAGAGTAAAAACAAGGGGGGCAATAAAGGCGACATGATCTGGCCCTCTTACCAAATAGAAAACACCAACACAGCTTCTGAATCATTTACTAGTATAATCCCCACTGCACATTTTGAGAGAGTCGGTGAGATTCTGGATCAATCCCCTGAGGTTGACAAAGAGCCTGATGGTCCACAGGCATGTAAGTTTACTGTAGAGGCTCCTGGTAATGTGGAGAATTCAAAGCCTGGGGACGTACAGGCAGGTGAGCTACAACCAGAGGTCAAGACCTTTTAAGGTCAAATGGTGCTGCGAGAAATTTACAGAAAGAAGTAAAATCCTCACTGATTTTAAATTCTGCAAAATCAGGAATTTGTTAATTGAAGTGACATGACTCTCTGTCACAGTCACTTCAATAAATTAAAAAGAACAACTTTTGCTCATAATAGTACATTACAACCACATCCCTCAATATATTTTGGGTCATAGACCAATGAAAAATAGTGCATAACTATAGTTAGAATAATCAGCAGAAGGAAAATGACACATTGTTTTTGCATTTTTAACAGATAAAATCTGAAAACTGTGGCATACATTTTCAATCAACCTCCCTACATTTGTAGAACCCTGTTTTAGTGTTATTAAAGGAGCAAGTCTTTTTGGAACAAATTCATAGCCATTCTTATGTTCAAAATATTTCAGGCTCAGTCAATTTAAATTAGGTGCGTTAGTTAAATTCAGTTATCCATAGTCGTAATGCATTTTTTTTTTTTTTTTAGATTATTTTAGGCTTTAGTGGCATTCATTTTTGTTTATTTTTTTAAGTATGGAGACAAGAAAAGAAGGGAGAGACATTCAGCAAAGGTCAGCAGAGCTGGGACTAGAACCTGCAACAGCTGGTATATGGGTCATGCGCACTACCTAAATATGCATAAAAATTATGTATTTAGGATAAAAACAAAAAACGTTTTTTCAACAAAAAGCCCCTATCAAAAATCCCCAAAGGGAAAACGTTTAAGTTCAACCGGGTTAAATTAAAGAAAACTCCTTAAAGAAACCTTGGCCAACCAAAAAATAAACGAATAAACCAAAAAAAAATCATCAGATTAATCGATTTACAAAATAACCTTTAGTTGCAGTCCTAGTGTAAACTATTCAATGTTAGCTCTGGCTGCGGGTTAAAGGTCAGGCTCCTGTTAGAATTAGGGCCTCCATCCAGTCTCAAGAATACATCCGCACAGCATAATGCTACCACCACCGTGCCTTGCTGTGTGGCCAGGGTAACGTGTAGCATACTTTTCTGCCACATTTATGCATATCTGCAAACAAATCAGATTCTCCTACCTAACATGGGGATCTGTGCAGCTCCCCCAGAGCCATCATTCATTATTTGGCTTAATTTTTGAATGATAAATTAAATAGTTCTATGTGAGATGGTCTGAGTTTGTTATATATTTATAACCTAACCGTTTTTTAAACTTTTCCACTACTTTGTACCAGACAAAAAACAAAAAAATTATAATGAGTTTAGATTTCTATAAAGTAAAAAAAAAAATTAATATACATGCCCCATTAACTTAAAATTCCCTGTATTTTATTTCAGGGATGTCAGAGTAAAGAAGGCTGGATTTTACTGTATGAGTTTGTTAATTGTTTAACATATAAAATCACATTTAAATACATTGAGTTTTGTGAGTTGTACTGGCCAAAGATAAACATCTGTTTATACTTTTACAAAACAATGTTTTAAAATTATTATAAGGATCATAGATTGGCAGCTCTCCCTGCATTCTCCTGTTAAAGGTAAGTATATAGAATTATTTACTTTGTTTACACCGACTTACACCAAAGTTACTTCCTGGATCATCCACCTCTCACCTGTTACATCAGCACCAGCCCCCGTCGTTCAGATGATTGACCCTGAGCACTTTAACTCACAATCATGAGGAAACTTTTCATGTCTGGATTCTCAGTCTGAGCATTCTTCCCCAGAAATGGGTAATCAATTCAACACAAGAGCAGGAAACCGGACTTTTCCGACAGTAAAACATTTTGGAAGTCAAACCTTTGGACACTATGAACATACTTCCAGGCCTCAAAGCTGAAGAATATTTCTACTTTACAGTCACCCTCTTCATTTTGTCCCTGTAGAGATTTTATTTTATCATATTTAAACTTAGAATCGCATTATGCTCCCATATTTGCTCGAAAAATGTTCAGTATTGAAATCCTTAACAACAACATATGTAAAAGAACAACAGCAAAAAAACCTGTTTGGTTTATTAAAGCTGATGATTGCATTAGACCAGATGTGGTCAGTTTCCTGTTATTTCACTTTCCCATGAGGTCAGCCTCTCTGCTGAGGCGGTGTTGTGTTAACTTGAAGTCCTCTGTCCCAGCCTCTCCCGCTCCACCCTATGGCATCACCGTTCTGGAGTGTGTTCAGGACTCCATGGTGCTCGCCTGGAAGCAACCAACCTTCATTGGAGGCGCTGACATCACCGGCTATTTCGTGGACTACCGTGAGGTCGTCGATGGCGTGCCTGGGAAGTGGCACGAGGCCAACGTAAAGGCTGTGAGCGAGAGGGCCTACAGGGTGAGAGCATGGGAGTCCCTTCTCCATCCAGATGTTTTACAGCTGTTTGATCAGCAGCTGTTTGATCAGCAGTTTTTTTTTTTGTGATGGTTGTTTCTTTCCCTGGCAGGTGTCGGAGCTAAGGGAAAACAAAAAATACCAGTTTCAGGTGCGAGCTGCCAACATGGCGGGCGTCGGCATTCCGTCCATGCCCAGTAACACCTTCCTGTGTGAGGAGTGGACCATTGCTGTACCAGGTGGGTTGATCAAGCTGCAGCGCATGAGATCCTAAAACTCCTTCCTCATTGTTAATGTTTTTGCAAAAATGTTAATTAAATAGTCAACTAAAAGGAATCAGTGTTAATTTAATCTCTGTTGTATAAACTGATGCATAATCCAAATCCCTTTTTCATACCAACAATTTTTTTTTTTTTTTACATCTTACGCTTGACTTTTAAAGCATTTCTGTGCTTTTTGGCTCCCAGAGCGTTGAGGAAAACAGCAGGCCCACAGCATCATACATCCTCTACTATACATATAAGGGAGATGGGGTTATTGTTCAAAATTTGCACCTGTCTAATAACAAAATTTGTTTTTTTTAAATCAAGACTGAAAAGGCTACTTCAAAAAGACATACATTTTGTTTAAAAATTATTAATGTTGACTAAACCAAATCTTCAGTATATTTGGATTTATTATAAGTTAAATTCAGATAGGCTAAAAAAAAGTCAGTATTTGCTAAAATAAAATGTTTCTATATTTGCTGTTTTTTAAAATAGTTTTTTTTTTTAAATCTGTTCCTTTGTTCATTTTATCAGAAATAAATAAAGGCAACAATGGGTTGAGCTAGCATCAAAAGGCGTGTAGTAAAACCATGTGGTAGGGTGGTTTCGGTTTATTATCTTTTTAAAAGAGATCACAGAAGGATAAAAATTAAAATAAAGCCAACGTAAAGACTTGATAAGTGATTATGTCCCATCTATTTGAATAAATCAGATTAGATTAGATAAGATGAGCTTTATTGATCTCACAGCGGAGAAATTCACTTGTCACATATTGGCATAGAAGTCAAAGAAGGTGCAAACAAGGAGGAAAAAGGTGCATTAAGAATAAGCGGTAAACAATATATATATACAGTATATCCAGGTATATACAGTATATCAAGATAAATAAGGATTAAGGTGCAAGTGTACATGTGTCGCACACAATGAAAAACAAAATAAAAATAAGAAATAAAAAATATGTAAATCTTGATGTCTATCAAATTATGAAGAAACAAAAAAGAAAGATAAAAACTCATGATGGATGCTTGGATCAAAAAGGTCCTAAACAATCCTTTTGTAACTCAGACAGTTTCCAAATGCAGCTTCCTGATTTCTGTTTTCTCAAACATCCATATGTGCATATAGGACCTCCTCATGACCTGCAGGTCCGTGAGGTGCGAAGCGCCTCCCTAGTGTTGCTGTGGAAACCTCCTGTGTACCAAGGCCGTGATCCTGTAAACGGTTTCTACGTTGACATCAAAGAAGGAGACGCACCTGAGGAGGCCTGGAGGGGAGTCAACACCAAGGCTGTAGAGAAGACATACCTGAAGGTCTTTACAAGGAGTCAGTTAGCGGCTTTTTATTCTAACAAGGTGCTGCGGCTGCTGTCTTATCTGGGTGCTCTCTCTAACATTTGCAGGTTAAGAATCTTAAAGAAGGAGAGACGTATGTGTTGCGAGTGCGTGCTCAGAATAAAGCCGGTGTGGGCAAAACCTCAGATGTTACAGAGCCAGTCCTGGCCCAGACAAAACCAGGTAGGAGGATAGTGACACACTGGTAGTTTATGCGAGTGAACACTGGGAATGAGAACGTCCTGCACAGGTAACCTTCTGTTTGGTTTCCAGGCACTAAGGAAATAGCCGTTCAAGTTGATGATGATGGTGTCATCTCCCTTAACTTTGAATGCTCTGACCTAACACCCGACTCCAAGTTTGTGTGGTCCAAGAATTACGAGGAAATCACTGACACTGGTCGCCTGACCGTAGAGACGAAAGGAAACAAGTGAGATGACTTAATGTCGTTGAATTTAAACAAAGAGAATTATGGAAACCTGCACTTGTTGGCTCCAATTGTTTCCAGTCAACAATGTTTGTGTTAAATTGGTCACGTGATATGCATACAGTATTTAGCCCTCTATAAAAACTAGAAAAATTTTGTTTTTTTTATTTTGCTCGTTGTGTTGATAGACAAAATATTTTAAAAATTGACTCGGCCTACTTTTGTTCTTAATTTCATACAGGGTTATATAGATCAACACTAATTAGAAGTCATGCATTAGCCGCTGAATATTTGTAAAGCTCCGGGGTTCACAGTACCTACGCTGCAAAGAGAATTAAAATTGAAATATGATTTGAAACATAATCAGCATGTAGGTTTAGAATTGAATAAAGTGAGAATGGATGCAGAATGCCTTGTGTCTCAGGATAGGATCCATCATCTACAGGGTTTTCAGGCCACCATTCTTTATTTATGTTGCTTACGCTGTTTTTTCTATAAACAAGTTAGTGTATAGCAACAAATACACAGCAAATAAATGCTGTATCTAATATAAAAGATTACTTATTTTGAATGCCTTATAGGGATGTCATCCAATTTAAAGGATGAGGCCTGGAAAAGACTCAAGAATAAAAAAAACAAAATTCTTAATCTGTTCCTGTTCAGGTCCCAAGCAGTGTTCAACACTCCTGGGGAGGAGGACATCGGGGTGTATTCATGTCTGGTTACCCACACTGATGGTGCCTCATCCAGCTACACTCTTTCTGAGGAAGGTGAGAACTTTTTTTCTTTCTAGCAAAAACAACAGGTCAGTCACCTGTTACAGTCATTGTCTTTTCCTATTGTTCAGAGCTGAAGAGGCTGCTGGAGGTCAGCCACGAACACAAATTCCCGAGTAAGTACCTCAAAATTTCTCAGAATTTTTTATTTTTTATTGTTCTGTTTTGCTTTATTAAGTAAGATGTCCCTGAATGTTCTGTGTCGCACCAGTTATTCCTCTGAAGTCGGATTTAGCTGTGGAGCTGCAGGAGAAGGGCAGAGTGCGCTTCTGGCTGCAAGCAGAGCACATGTCGGCGAATGGCAAAGTGGATTACGTTTTCAATGACAACGTTCTCTCCCAGGGAGAGGTCAGTGAGACACAGAGCCAGTCACTTTCTTTCAATATAAATTAGTCTTTGTAACTGGAAAAAAAACAATTCTGCTTATCTTATTGCTTATCTGTTTTACAGAAATATAAAATGAACTTTGACAAGAACACCGGTTTGATTGAGATGCTCATGGAGTCTCTGACTCCTGCAGATGAGGGGACTTACACCTTCCAGCTAAATGATGGCAAAGCTACAAACCAGTCCAGCTTGGTGCTGATAGGCGACGGTATGTTCATTTAAAAAAAAAGCATATTTTATCTGCTGAAAGCTCAAGTTAAAAGTGTTTTGGTCTTTTTTTTCAAATCAATTATTGAAATGAAAAACATCAGTACATATTAAAATTGTATAAAAAGTTGCAACTTGCTAATCAAGTAGTAAAATCACTTTTAATGTTTCACATATCCCATTAGAAATCAGCAAGATAATTGCTAGAATATACCAAGATATACTGATGTGTTATACCAAATGTTTGAGACCTGTCTTGCTGTCACATCTTTTTGTGTTCCTGGCAACAATGTAAAAAAATTAAATAAAAATTCTATTAAATTAATCTCTTACCACAGCAGGAAAATCTAACTAACACATTTTACAAAATCCACCCTTTATGTTTTTTTTTTTTTTTAACTGATTTAAATGATCAAGTTAATCAGTATAAAGAAACTGCTACTAAATCCAAAACTTCTTGGAAAGAGACTTGGAAGCATCCAATGCAGGTCCAGCAGATTTCGGAATAGTTTCTTCCCCACTGCCATTAGACTGATGAATGTTATATAAAATGGGGTTATAAAATAAAATTAGGGGGAAAAAATCCTGAATGCTGGAACTGTAACTATCCAGTCGTATGTTTACATTATCACTGCTTCTTGCCTTCATCAAGGCTGCACTTTAAAAAATGTAAATGGCTACTGATCGAAATTCCTTTTTGTATACACTTGTGTGTACAAAATTACAATTAAAGTCTGTCTAAGTCTGAGTCTAAGTATCCCTGGAATAAATATGGTGTGACATAGAATAAAAAATCCAGAATAAAAAAAGAAATCTTGTCATCCACTACAGTTAGCAGGGCAATAAGAAAGATAACTAAGATAGCATCACCTATTCTCTTAAAAAACACAAAACAAAAAAAACAAAAAAAACATTAGGTTACATTGAGATATGCCAGAAAAAGCATTGTGGCCTACTATAACATGTATAAACATGTTTTTCTATTATGTTATCTTAGACTGTGTGATTTGGTCAGATAATATTAATATTTACTTTTTAGGCAACAGAACCAATGTATAAATGCTTTTCCCACTGTATAGTATAGTGAGGCTCAATTATCTCCCATCTCTTTTCCAAAGGCCCTGGAAACTTTCTTAGTCTGCCTTGCATAAAGACCTAATGAAAGATGATACACTGCAAGTTTTTAAAGGAAAATATTTTGCATTCTGCTTAAAATGAATAGGGGGTATTTTTCTGTCTTACCAATGGATAACAATTCAAAACAGATAACAAAATGAACACAGAAAGGGTTAATCTGACACAGAATCAAATTTCCTCTCTGACCAGCTCAGTCCTCAGAGATAAATAAAGACGGTTAAGCTAAAAGAAAAGCACAGAAGAGAACACTGTATAATCTAACGCAGAGATCTGTCACCTCAAGGGTTAAAAGATCCAACAAAATTAATCTGATCTATCTGTTACATGACCTTTTAAGAAACGAAAACCTACTGTTTATGAATATCTACAACCAGATTTTTATCACTGAGCTGCAATTTTATTAACACTCTTGCCAAGTGAGGAGAGATACAATATAAAACATAAGTTTATAAGCCGGTGACAAAAACAATGGTTTTTAAATATATATAACTGATATTTCCAGAGTCATTCTGTTGTACAAATTAGATAAAAAAGCCTACTGTTTTACTATAGCTGTATTTGGAAGTATTTGGTTTTTTCTTTACAGGTTTTCAAACAAAGGTACTGAGAGAAACTTTAGGAAGTCCAAGTTGTGGCTTTAGGGCCACAGGCTGCAGACTCCTGATTTAAAAACACTGCAAAAAAAAAAAAAAAAAAAAAAAAAAGGTTAATTATGACTGTCCTTGTTTCAATAATCCTGTGAAATTTTAAAGGGGAACACCCCGATTATACTGGAAAACAGGCATCTAAAGGGTCTCCTTAGTTGATGACAGGAACACCATTTAATTTAGCATCAAACTTGTGAAACATATTTTTATGTAGCACCTTCCTCCCACTTTACAAAAACTCCTTGTTATTTTCTTGTGCACATTCAAATAACTTTTATAAAGTGGAAGCTTTTTGCCACTAGAGGGCAGAAAGAGATCAATCAAATTATACCATTACTGATTACTGAATAGCTTCATCCTGTTGGTGCATTTTGTTTTGTTTCTCTACATTTTTCCTTTTTTTTTTCTTTTTTTTATATTATACATAACAGCTGAGGTTACACTTTATAGTTCAAGATGCCAATCATGGCATAATCCTGGTGCTTTAGTACACCTTGTAGCACCTTAGTACTACAAGAGTGTGAGGGATTGCCTTCGAGTCAATGAGTAGATGCAATCAACGGGTTTTCCTTAGATAGAAAACTTTGAATCAATTTGACTGTATGATATGGTGAACTGTAAAGCGCCTTGAGATGACATCTGTTGTGAATTGGCCTTTTATAAATAAACTGAATTGAATTGAATTGTAGATGGGTTAGTGTTACAGAAGTTGTTAAATACATAAAACAAATTGAACTGCTGTATCTCAAAATGAATTTGACTCTTAATAATAGCTTTGTGAAAAAAAAATCTCCTAAAATAAAGGAACTTAATGAAGACGGATCTTTTAAAAAAATAGCGAGAATGTAAATCAAAGCCTACATTGCCTCTTGTTATAAAAATGGGTCTAAATCAATGCCATAAAACGTAATTTGACCCCTCAAGGAGCTACACTGAGCATTTCTTGTCAGATTACATTACAGGAATATGTACATTTTGAGCTGAAGACTCTAACTGCTGTTACCTCTTTTCTGTTTCAGTGTTTAAGCAACTGCAAAAGGAATCAGAGTTCCAGAGAAAAGAATGGTTCAGAAAGCAAGGTAATGAAAACGTAATTACCTGGAAGAACCTAACCTGACAACAGCCAGATGCATGTCTCGCATCTGGCTGTTGTCAGGTTAGGAAGAACCTACCTTCTTGTTGAACCAAGCTCAACCTTTTTCATTAAAGAAAACAGCAAAGATTGAGGTTCAGATTCATATTAAACCAACTCTTCTTTTGTCATGGACTGATAACAGCTGTTTGTGTGTCTCAGGTCCTCACTTTATCGAGGGCTTGAGCTGGGAGGTAACACCAGACTGCTGTGTGATACTGAAGTGCAAGGTGAGTCTTAGCCTGAAAGAAATACATTCTTTTCCAAACACACTTTTCTAAAAACATCAAATGTAAAAAAATATCTCTCCACTTGGCCACTTCTCAGGTGGGCAATATGAAGAAGGAGACCTCGGCTCTGTGGCACAAAGACGGACATCAGATCAAGGCAGACGAGCATCTGGGCTTCACAGAGGGAGTTCTCAAACTAGAAATAGCCCAGGTGAAAAATTAACAAAGACAGGAGTAAAAAAAAAAAAAATGTGTATTCAGGAAGATGTTTTTTTTTCCCCAAAAAAAATGATGGATGCTTTGTATTTATGAACATGATTGATTTTTTTTTATCCTTGTCACACTATTGGATATGTTTCCATCCACCATCACCTTTCTATCCATCTGATACTGGAACATATATATGTGATTCAGGTTAAAAAAGCTTCTTCTTCTTCTTTCTGTTTGGAAAGGTCATAAAATAGTCAGGCTTGGGTTCCCAACTCTAGGTCACTCCACTGCTTAGAAATGTACACATATGCTTTACACTTTTAATAAGTGTACTGTCACTCGATAATAATGTTTTATTTCATGCAATGCTACAGTACAGTATGCAGAACTTTTCTGCGGTGAGGATTCAGCTCAGTATGTTGCTTGGAGCAGCTAAGGCGTTGTTCACAGTTTTCAACAATTTAACACGTATACAAAACATATTTGTTTTGAACAAGACCTTCCCCCCCAAGCATACAAAAAAACCCCATAGATTTTTCACCAATTTCTATTTTATTGTAGCCGAGACTGGAATCCTATAAACATAAGTGGAATTTGTAAGCTCAGATCACTGTAGTCAAATACTTATTTATAAACTTACAATATTAAAACGTGTAAAAAAAAAAAAAATCATAACTTCAAACGTCAACGCCAGCTTCAACTGTAAAATGCGTGACAAAATAAGCAGAAAGGTCTTTATTTAAAAAAGTCAATTAGCATTGATTACACTTCCCTGTTGTCGCTGTCAGATATCCAGAAAGGATGCTGGTGTGTATGAGGTTGTTCTGAAGGATGAGAGAGGAAAGGACACGTCTACACTGAATTTGACAGATCAAGGTAACTTCCTATTAGACCGTCTTTAAATACTGACCATGATGCACCATAAATGATCATTTCCTTCTCTTTTTTAGGTTTCAAAGACTTGATGAATGAAGTTTTCAGCTTTATTGGTATGGCAGAGCATGCTTTCTTAATCTTAAATAATATTTTTAAATGACTTTTAAAAGACTATTTTGTTGTTACTTTCTTCTAGCTAACACCTCCACTCCGCTGAAGATCACAAGCACAGACGAAGGAATCCGACTCTACACATTTGTCAGCATATATAATGACTTGCTCCAAGTTACGTGGCACTACAAGTCAGTTTAAAAGAAAACTTATTGTGAAAAAAAAAAACAGTTCCTGCTGTTCTTCTTGTCATCTTGCAGATACACTTCATGTTCTTGCTTGTTTGCAATTTTATTTAACAAAGTGACCAGCATTTGCATGGGTTCTGCCTTTTGTCTCTTGACAGGGATTCAGCGATCGCCTTCTCTGATCGTATAAAAAGCGGAGTGGTCGGAGAACAGCTGTGGCTTCAGATCAATGAGCCTACAGAGAAAGACATGGGCAAATACGCCATTGAGTTTCACGATGGAAAAGGCGGCATCAGGAGAACAGTTGAACTCTCGGGTCAAGGTGACTTAGCAGACCTCAGACTTCAGCTGTACTCAGCTTTTGAGTTTGCCCTGTTTAGTTCATCTCACATACTGTATATCTATAGTGTTGATTAATGTAGTTTTTTTTTCTTCCTTTAGCTTTTGATGATGCTTTTGCAGAATTCCAGAGACTCAAGTAAGTTTCTGTTCATCTTTCTATAACCCAACAGTTTTATTTATTAGGCACACATGTTTAGCAGCTTATTTATGTTGATCAATAGGACACTTTTGGAGAGAATTAGAAAGAAAAAGGATAACATCCTGCTCCATTTTGCTGTGTAGCTGTTTACTGGATGAAAAGGAGCATCATTTTAGATTCTTATTTAGCCATATCAGACTTATTAATCTTAATTCAAAATTTAATCCAATTAATTGTCCAGCCTTTAATTTGTTTTTTCTTTCCTCCCCTCAGAGCTGCAGCAATTGCAGAGAGAAGTAAGTGTTGGCTGTCAAAGTCCTAAATGCTTGAACAGGGTGGAAAGTCTCTATCTTCATAACATTTTATCTTTTTGAGATACTCAAATAGTTCACTCTTCATTGTGAGATAATGATTTAGTAAAGCCAGATTTACTGGAAGCAGGTGGGATAATGAGATGAATGAACGGTTATTGCAAAGTTAACACTAGTTTAGTGTTTGACTGCAAAATTGCCTAATTATTTCGAAGTAGTAACACGCATACAATGTGTTCTTTCTGTATTTTATTTACAATTTTATTCACACATTCTAATATGATATATGTGCTAAAGGGAAAATATGCATTTTCAAATCATATGCACCTTTTTCCTACTTTAAGATCGAGCTCGAGTAGCAGGAGGCCTGCCTGATGTGGTGACTATACAGGAGGGCAAGGTAAACAGTACACCAACACATAGTCTTTGTAAAACCAATGTTTTTTTAAACTCCACCATGAAATGAGATCCTATTGCTGCTGCACTCCTGCATATCTCTACCTCAGGCTCTCAATCTCACCTGCAACATCTCGGGCAACCCAGTGCCAGAGGTCACCTGGCTGAAGAACGACAGGGAGATCACCTCCGACGAGCACTGCATCCTGAAGTTTGAGTCGGGCAAGTTTGCCAGCTTCACCATCACCGGCGTGAACACGTCAGACTCTGGAAAGTACAGCATCCTGGTGAAGAACAAGTTCGGCACGGAGAGCGGCGACTTCACCGTAAGTGTGTTCATCCCAGAGGAAGCTGGCGGCAAGAAAAAGTAAAAGTGGTCCAAGTCTTACAAAACACCTGTAGATGGGTTACACTGGAGGGATAGAGAGAGCTTGAGGATGTGTTTGATGTTTTTTGTTAAGAGGAAAAGAACCTTGTGAGGTGCTGAAACTGAACTTGAAAACTTCCAGCAGATCTGTGCAAAAGAAAAAAAAAGAAACAGGATTTGTGCATTTGGTCCAACACTAACAAATCTGAATCAATAAGATCATTTTTGATAATCTATCACATCCAATGGTTACTGGTGAAATCTCTGCTTGTGTAAAGTTTTGGCAAGCAGAAGAAATTATTAGTTTTAAAAGAATAAATAAAACTTCAGTTATCAAAAGAATCGTAATCGCTCAACTGTTTGAAATGCTGCTATGATGCTGAAAATGTTAGTGATTATGGAATGTCTATTAAAGCATAAATGTTTTTTACATTTGCTACAGATTTTACGGACTTCGCTGTTCACCAGGTTTACAAATGTAATGAATGGACAGCCTATTTTAGCTGTTCTTTAAATTCCTGAAATCTGATCATGATTCCTTTGGATTTTACAGAAAAAAAAATCGATGCAGGTAATCCTTTAAAGTGTAACTTAATATAGTGCATTGCTTTTGGTCCATCCAAAGAACAAAAATCCGTTTCCTGTTACTTACTTCTAGGAAAAACCCCAATTAACAGCTCTTTAGTTTAGTACAGAAGAGAACAATTGTCCTGAAATTTTTTATATAAAATTAAGACTTAAATTTTTTATTTTTTTTTTTCCCCTAATTTGCTTCTGGGTAAAATTGGCTAAAAATCCAAGTGAAAATTTAGAAGAAATGGCTTTCTAAGAAAAAGGTCTGAATTATAAGGAATACTTTCTTTTCCCCACCCTGGGCTAATTACCCTCTGTTGTTCATTAATAATTTTCAATAATATAAAGGATAGATTGTTGCTTGTTCTCACAAAATCTGAGCTTGCAGGTGAAGAATGAGCAATACCTTTTGAACAGTGCTCTGATTGAACACTACTTTGACCTTTTGTTTACTCTGAAAGCTTAGGCAAAACATTGTGTTTGGAGCTTAATTCCATAGGGATGCCTCCATTTGAGCAGAGAGAGAGATAATTAATAACTAAGTGAGATTTGAATTAAGAAACATATGCCTTAAATAGGAGGTTAGTAGTTCAGGCCACAGTTAGACATCAGGTTTTATTTGTCAATCTGCTCTGGATGTAAATAAAATCAGTAGCAAATGTATTAAAACATGAGTAATTTTATTAGATAGTATGCTTGAGTTTTACTGCATATTCAACCTGACTCTGACATCACTATGTCCCACTATCTTTAGACAATATTTAAAGTCTGCACATTACTTTTGATGTTTTTCCACTACTGTCATGACAAACCCTTCACAGCCACTGTTATACTGATTGTCACTCTACTTCCTGTAGTCATGTTTCCCGATTAAACTAATAAATTTCAGCATGTACACCCCCACTTCCTTCTCCCTCTCCTTTATGAGTCGTCTCACTTAGATTAAAGCATTTCACCTTTCATCTGTCTTAATCCACGCTCTCCTTTCAGCTCACTTTTTTGTTCCTGTAGTCACAGTTTCTGTTGAGCTGGAAAAACTGAAGACGAACGACCGGCATGGAGATAAGTCCCTTCCACCCTGCATGGAACTGCACTTAGTGTGGTAGAATGAGAGAAGCTGGAACAGAAACAGAATGACAAAAAAAAAAAAAACACCCCCAGAAAAGATTAATTCAAAAGGTTAAAAAAGCCACAGGGTTGTTAGAAATATCCTTTAATGATGAATGTTCCTTCATCAACATAACAGGACAAGCATGCATGAGTACCGATTCATATTTGGTGGCTAAACAGTGTTCAGTTTTATGTTCTTTTAAGAGATGAATGCTAACAACATATTGAACCAGTATTTGAAAATTCAATACCATTGATGGGCTACAAGGGTTTGAAGATTTTTAGCTTTTTTGCAGCACAAACTTCCTTGAGATTAAGTTTAAAATACATAATATTTTGTTTGTTTGTGTTTCCTGTCTGTCTGACATTAAATCTAATTGTACTTTGGCTTTATTAGGTCCAAACAGATTAGCAAATGCATTTCTGTTTGTGTAGATCAAAGAATAATAAGAAATAATTCTTAAAAGTCTGAATTTACATACACTAAAATTACTACAGTATGCCTTGACAAAGGGCTAATAATATGATGATGATGAATTAATAACTTTGTAAGCTTATGTTAATTCACAAAATTTGGGTTCACTCTTATTTATCATTTATCTGTTAGAGAAGAAATATTTCTTTCAAATTAAAATCTTTTTCAAAAGAGACCTTGGAACAAAGATAGCAAGACTTGCACATACAAACGTATAGGCCTACGCCTTTATCACACTACATGACTGTCTGATATTCTAGAAAAAACTTGATTTCCAAAGAAATATTAGAAAGAATATTAGGAAGAAAATGTATGGACCTCCAAAAGTCTGAAGGTACCACATGCTTTTATTAAACCAATCACAGACAAACACAAATATGAAGCTTATTGTTCAGGTAGGAGACTATTCACGAAAGAAAAGCATTCTACAACAGAGAATGAGTTTTTGGAGAATGCGTTTTTGTGTTATATGTAAAAATACATGAAAAAATCGACGGAGCTAAAGATGTTTGATGCAGTCTGAAATGGTTAAAGGGTTCATAGTTAAATCCGTCCCCTTCCAACATGGGTTAAGAGGCCACAGAGAGAGGAAGACACCATTACTCCAAACATTAAAAAGTCAAACACGTTTCCTAATAAACTCACACATTTTTGTTTTATGATCTGCACTCTGATGAAACAAGGTTCCAATGTTTTCTCATCATTTTTATTATCATATTTAAAGGAAAAATGGGGGAAACATGTAAGCCCCTTTGCACAATCCCTACTGTAAAGTATGGGGGTGGCAGCATCATGATGGGAGTGCATTTTACAGCAGAAGGGACTGCACCTCATCAAAAAGATGGTAAACTCAGGATAGTACATTATATGAAGAAATAAAGCAGAAACTCTAAACAACAGCTAGAGTGTTAAAGGTTAGCCAGAAAAGGGTCTTCAAAATGGTCAGTGAACCACAAATTAGCTTCAAAGGGGTTTAAATACACAAAAAATAAATGTATTATAGGGGCTTAACAAACCTTCGATCCTGACTCTTTTATTAAATGTGTGGGTAAGGCAGAAAATGTGTTTTTGAATCAGCAACCCTAGATCTATAAGGAGGAACAGGTCAGTCTTCAATTTATTGTGAGAACCTTGTGAAGGGAAGCACATAATCCTTCACAAAAGCTAAACACTTTAAAAGGTGATTTTACCAAATACTAATTAATTATTACTTCATTAAGCAAATATGAATCATTTCATATTTCCTAACTCACTGAAAAGTGAAAGTTTAGTCTTATTTTATGTCGGATTTTGTAAAAAAAACATACCATAATCAATATTTCAATTTTTTATTGTAACCATCATACATTTTTAAGCATAAATTTCTGTGCTGACATCACTTAAGATATAGGTTACCTGATCAAAGCTATTCAGAGTAGTGCATTTATATTTTCGATTTAATCTGGTTCCTTCTGCTAATTCTTTTTACTTTTGATCTACCTGGCTGTAACAAAAGTCTCTGAGTAATCTGTATAATTTGGGAAATTTGGCAAAAACAAAGCTGCTTAAATCTTGTGCAAAGAAGACCAAGACAGATTGGGATTATTTGAGCTCACCATCAGATTTCTTACTGCATAAAAACAGCTTAATTGCTGCTGATTCCATATATCTATGGAGGAACTTTAATGCATCCTTAATGCATCCTTTAATCATTTAAGCGTCCAGGTTAATGTAACAAACATTTTGGTTGTCAGCTCTGACTTTATTAAATGGGTAAGTATGATGACAAATTTCAATGAGTTTTGATGATTCTTTCTGTCTGCAGAGCTTAATTACATGTAAATGTCTTATCTGGTCTCTCTCCAGCTTGAGATCATAGAGGGGATGCCAGACTTGGGGGTGACCTCGTACTGGACTGATACAGAGGGAAACGTAGTTTTTAACCCAAATACGGCAAAAGAAAAAAGGAAAACCTCTGTCACAGGAACACAATCCCCAAAACGTAAAGGTGAGCACATTTTAATTGCATCTATGTGTAATTTGACCACTGCAGATATAGAGGTGTTGGTCTCACAAAGAAATGTCCTCTTTCAGAGTCTGCAGCAACAGCTCCTACTAAAAAGGTGGAGGACAAAAGGGGGAGTGACAGCAGGAAGTTGGAAACAGGAAAGATTGCAGATGATGTTCGAGCAGAATCAAAATCTTTAGAGTCAGACGAAACAGTGGAGGAAAGAACAAATCCACCTGAGGAGCAACTTACTGCTGCAAACTCAGATGTCCCTGTTCAGCCTGCAGAGACTGTGGAAGAACTTGAAAAAGCCCAAAATCTCTAAAGTAGCAGAAATCTGCTGTTAATAATATAGGTTTGATGTGGACTTTATGGTGTAGTAATGACATAATGTTAAAAACAATATCCCCCTTTATAGGGAAATTTACCATAAGAGGGATTTTCTGAATACAGAAAAGTTTTAAATTAGATTTTGTTTTTAATTGGTAAATCTGAACTTTTTTTGGTTTAATATTTGTGTCTGAAAATATATTAACAAAGATTATAGACACCTTGTTTAAATAAACAGGAGCAACACTAGTACACTTTCATTTTTTTATATATAAAACAGTAATGGCTGCCGTAAGCTAAAAGGGGTATAGTTTCAAATTTAGTTGCCAACATAAAACAGACTAATCTAGATTGTTAATGTGGTTAACTGAGTTTTTTTGGGGAAATGAAAACAGCTACTTCCCTCAGAACATGCAAACAGGACATAATGTTTCTCTTTTTTACAGCAGTCTGATGTCTGCAACATATCTCTGTTTTTTTAATCTATTTTAGAACAAAACGCTGAAAAGTTCTCCACCTGCAGGTTTCCTGTTCTGTGGCTGAGGGGGACTTCTGTTCTCAGATCAGAAAGCATCAAAAAACAAACTAACTCGCCAAAAAGACTGAACTCATCACGGAGTGTTTCATTGCATAAATAAATACTGGTTTTGGTATTGAACATGTTTCTTTTTAAACTAAATATGAGAATTATTTTGACTCAGTAGAAGGTTTAAATCAGCTGTTTGTGGCGTGAACCTTGCTCTACTTTTTTGTAATCGTGTTGTTGACTGTAATAAGTCAATATATCTGAATATATTAGATGATCAATTCAATAAACTCTTAATCCTGACTAAAATGCCATAATGTATGAAAGGTGTTCTTATGGAACAATTCTTATTGTCTTTCTAAAAATTTATTAAATTCCTTTATTTCATTTCATACTTTGCCAATAAATCTTTTGGGGTTAATCTCTACAATTAGAATAAATATTTTTTTTTTGCTTTTTTCTCTCTGAAAAATCATGACAATAAAAATAAAAGAGAGTTTCCATGACCATTAAAATTTTAATCTTGTCACAGATTCAGTATCCGGTTTAGGTCTTCACTTTGAATAGGCAGTTTTAGTACATAAATATGATTTGCTCTGTGCTACTCCAGTATAGATCTTCTGTGTTTTGGTTTTGCGTTCGTTCTATTTGGTGGGCCCTTTCACAGCCTGTAAAAGGGTTTTCTTTCTGCTCCATTCCTCTACAAATTCATTCTAAAAACTGCCACACCATGATGCTACCACCACCACCATGATTAACTATGGGGATGGTGTATTCAAGCCCGTGTGCAGCATTAGTTTATTGTTATATAAGGTTAAATAAAATAAGCTAAGCACCACATTCTAAATGTTTTCTGTATTCCCTTAGGTTTATGGCAAACTTTTAAACAAAACATCATATTGCTTTCTTCCTGACTCCCTTCTTTAAGGGCAAGATTTTTGGATTCCCTATTAGCTAACCCCGCAGAAATATTCTCCCACCTGAGCTGTGGGTATCGGCAACTCTTACAGAGCCATGGCCTTGTTTTGACAACTTTATGAGGTAATGGATCGAAGTGGTCTTTATGACAAAGCTTGGTATATTGTTTCATAATTTAACTCTCCCTTAGACATCTCCACAGCTTTATTCCTGACCAGTTCTCCGGTCTTTATGGAGTCTTTTGTTTACTAAAAAATAAACAGGTCCTGTCACTTTAAATGTGGCATTACCAATCAAAAGGTAACTATAAGCAGTCAGTAAACATGCGATCATGACCATTTTATATACTGCTCAAAAAAATTAAAGGAACACTTTGAAAACACATCAGATCTCAATGGGGGGAAAAAAATCATGCCGTTTATTTATACTGATATGGACTGGGTGATGTGTTAGGAACAAAAGGATGCCACATCATTTGATGGAAATGAAAATGATCAACCTACAGAGGGCTAAATTCAAGGACCTAAAAATTACAGTGAAAAAATGATACGGCAGGCAAGTCCATTTTACTGAAATTTCATTGCAGCAACTCAAAATTGTATTCAGTAATTTGTATGGCTCCACGTGGGTATGCATGCCTGATAATGTCAGGGCATGCTCCTAATGAGATGACGGATGGCGTCCTGGGGTATCTCCTCCCAGATCTGGACCAGGGCATCACTGAGCACATGGACAGTCTGAGGTGCAACCTGGCGGCGTCGGATGGATTGAAACATAATGTCCCAGAGGTGTTCTATTTGATTTAGGTCAGGTGAGTGTGTGGGCCAATCAGTGGTATCAATTCCGTCATCCTCCAGGAACTGCCTGCATACTCTCGCCACATGAGGCCGGGCATTATCGTGCACCAGGAGGAACCCAGGACCCACTGCACCAGCATAGGGTCTAACAATGGGTGCAAGAATTTCATCCCGATACCTAATGGCAGTCAGGGTGCCGTTGTCTAGCCTGTATAGGTCTGTGTGTCCCTCAATGGATATGCCTCCCCAGACCATCACTGACCCACCACCAAACCGGTCATGCTGAACGATGTTACAGGCAGCATAACATTCTCCACGGCTTCTCCAGACCCTTTGCCAATCGAGCTCCATGGTGCCGGGCAGTGAGCACAAGGCCCACTAGAGGACGTCGGGCCCTCAGGCCACCCTCATAAAGTCTGTTTCTGATTGTTTGGTCAGAGACATTCACACCAGTGGCCTGCTGGAAGTCATTTTGTAGGGCTCGGAAGTGCTCCCCCTTCTTCTCCTTGCACAAAGGAGCAGATACCGGTCCTGTTGATGGGTTGTAGACCGTCTACGGCCCTGTTCAGCTGTCCTGGAGTAACTGCCTGTCTCCTGGAATCTCCTCCATGCTCTTGAGATTTTGCTGGGAGACACAGCAAACCTTCTGGCAATGGCACGTATTGATGTGCCATCCTGGAGGAGTTGGACTGCCTGTGCAACCTCTGTAGGGTCCAGGTAGCGCCTCATGCTAACAGTAGTGACAGTGACTGTAGCCAAATGCAAAACTGGTGAAAAAGAGTCAGAAAAGATGAGGAGGGGATAAAATGTCAGTGGCCTCCACCTGTAAAACCATTCCTGTTTTGATGGTTGTCTCGTTGTTGCCCCTCTAGTGCACCTGTTGTTAATTTCATTAACACCAAAGCAGCTGAAACTGATTAACAACCCCCTCTGCTACTTACCTGACCAAATCAATATCCCAGAAGTTTAATTAACTTGAGGCTATACTCTGATTACAAAGTGTTCCTTTAATTTTTTTGAGTAGTGAAGAGACTGAGATCACACACAATCCAACATGGGAAGGCATCAATACATTTAGGAATATATCAAGATAATCTATGTGAAAATCTTATAGAAGTGCATTATAATATTGGCCAAAATATATCTTAAGTCTTGTTTTTATTGCATTAGGGGGACAAGGGGTGATTGTAACTCAGAGCGAGAGTTTTCAGTATGTAGCCATGCCTTTTCTAACCTCACATGGTGAACTACTGTATATGAGTGACAACTGGAGTGCTTGATTTAAAAAAAAACAAAAAAAAACTGATTCATTGGTGTAAAAGCAATATTTTTGACCAAACATATATTTTTTACACATACAATACCAGCTACATTCAAAATGTCAGTTGAAATATTACTTCTTGAGTTTGAAGTCGAGTTTTCAAAATAATTAGATTTTTTTCAGTTGTTAATATCTTAACCATAAACAGACAACAAAATGACAGTAATAATCTGAATATTCACATAAATATACTAGAGATAAATTAAATAGAATTCATGCTGTTTTCAGAATGGTTGTGTGCTTTATGGAGAGGAAAGGAAAGTTATGAGTCTTTTCAGTCATTAAGGCGTTTTATAAAATTAGTCATGAAGAGCTTAACCCATTCAATGGGAATGTTATGTGGAATCATAACTGACCTAGACATAACATAGATCTATAAATATTTGAGTCTATCTTCTTTAATCTATTTGGTAAATATTGATTTTTTTCTAGGTAACTTTCCAGTTGATAGTGGGAGATTAACGTATTAATATGGTTTTCCATATTCGGCCACCCCTCAGTTAACATTGGTCCCTCCCTGGCCACCTCTATGAAAGATTTCTGGTTCTGCCAATGCTGAAATTTGCTACCGTTACATTAGGACCAGACTTTGGTTCTTCTTCAGAAGGTTGCAAATATAGGAGACAATAAACGATAGCATTAACTTTTAAATTTTAGATCAATAGGCTTGTTGATATTCATAAATAAAAAAGAATAAATGTATAATAAATTCAACAGAGGGTGATTGGGAGCTATAGTTAGTCATAAGAGTGACATGTATTATTCTTGGCTTGTCTTCCTTAGTTGCACTTGTTTTAAGTTGTATTCCTTTGTTTTGACTATTTTTTCTTAATATTACAAATCATTGCAGTCTGTGTTTCAACCTGCCGCTAGTGGGGTAGGTTGCAACAAAGGAGGACTGTGTCTTTGATAATAACTAACCAGGTCTGTACAGGGTTGTAACTGGTGACATTTTGTAGTGATTATACGTAGGCATTTTGTGCAAAAGTAAAAAGAAGAAGGCAGGAAATTAGATCTGTGAGAGCAAATTGTTTGAAATCATTTCCAGCCTCCATGATATTTCAAAGAACTCAAATACTGAGAGATATGAAAACAGGCAGATTTATTTTCATTGAGATACTAAATAACAGATCATGGCATACATGACATGCAAAAGAAAACATATCACTACACAAACAAAATAATAATAATAATAAAACTTTACTGTACTATAACACAAAAATGCCACAGGTTTATAACAACATTAAAGTGTATCGGGTTTATAAAATTTGTACTATTATCGAAAAGACATAATGTTTAGAATAAAGAATTAATTATTTGAAGTTTGGCTTGTGACTGCATAACTTGGATCTATTTTTGAAAAATTTCAGTTCAGTTAAGTAGCTTTTATTTGTCCCAGTATGAGCAATTTTTGTGCAGAAATAGTACACCTTTCAAACACATGTTCACATTTCACAAATAAAAAATAGAAGAAACTCAAGAAACATAAAATATTTTAAAAAGATAAAAGTAAGGTGGATAAAAGATAGAAAATAAATACATAAATAAATAAATATGTGCAGTGCAGGGGATGAATGAGAGCATAGGCCTATATGCATGCAACATATGACTATCTGCTTTTCCTAGCAGAGTTCAGCAGCCGAACAGCAGAGGGAATAAATAAGTGTTTGTATCAATTGGACCGAGCTGGAACCAGAAGGTAGAAACAGGAATTCGTTATGTAGGGGATGGGTATAATTATCCAAGATGCACTCAGCCTTCCTAATTACCTGCTCTTCATGCATTTCAGACATGTTTTTCTGTTGAACACCCATGATCTTACTGCATACCTTAATAATCTTATATATGGCATTTTTATTCTTTACATTAAGAAGAGTGTACCAGCAGATGGCAGAGAAGGTAAGTATGGACTCTATAAAAGATCTATAGAACATGGTCATTAGAGTCTTGTCAACCTGAAACCTGGGAAGCTTTCTTAGGCAGTATAATCGCTGCTGCCCTTTCTTATATTGCATGTCTGTGTTGCTGTTAAAGTTAATTTAGATTCTAATTGATTTCGAAATGATGAGAAACAAATGACTGTAAGTCAAGAGATTGTAAGTCATTGACATAATAACTGTAACACACACACACACACAAAAAAAACTTGTTACCAACATAGTGAAAAGTGAGGGCGATTATTATTTGCAATAGAAAGAGAAAATTATTCTAGGAACAATTTTAATAGGTGCAATGCCAAAATATATGAATTATTCTCTTTGAACATCACAAAAAGTATATTTTGCATTAATATCACTTTTGAGTCTTTGAAGGTAGTAGCTGGTTCGACTAAATCTATGCAGCATTTCAAAGGTAAATAGAAGGTGAGTTTTTCTCCTTTATCTCCTCTTGCTGGTTGCTTCATCAGCGCGCGAGGTCACGTGAAGCAGCTGCAGGAGGAAGAGGAGGAGGAGCGGAGGGAAACCTCGATATGTGCCGCAGGGTGGAGGAAGAGACTGACTGACAGACAGACTGTCTACCTGCTACCGCTGAATAACTATTCGCAGCAGGTAGGGAGATTTACTCATTTTATCCTCACTGCTATTTCTTTTAACAAGCTTAGAATATATAGAATATATAAAATAAAAACATAACTTCCGTTCATTCGGCTCTTATTCGCGTCTCTGACGTCACCAAACGGTGTTCGAGCCATTTAAAATTGGCTTTTAAAGTTCAGAGCAGCCCTGGGAACTTTACCAACGCAGAGCCAGTTTCAATGTTTCAATCAACTTGATTTGTAGCAACTTTATATAAAAAAAATAAATAAAAATAATGCAAAAAAACGATAACAAAATGAATTTATTACGCCTTAATACGTCATTTAGACAGTGCTATTGAGTTTCTGTAGAAGTAAACATATATTTTTATTTAAAATATAAAATATATATATATATATTGGAATCTTCATGGGTTATTTCGAGGTAGATTTCTGTTAGACTAAAGACATTAAAGAAATCAACCCATAGCTGAATGATGTAAGCTGTTTCCCAGAAATCATATGAGCCATGAAAGCACAACAAGATAAGTTTATTTATAAATCGTTGTTGCTTTCAAACTATCAATATAATAGTTTTAATTTAACATTTTTAAACCAATTAAGAGATATGAAGACACTGCAACACTTAAAAAGAACATTTCTCATAAATAATATAGCACAAAATAAACCCTGATGTCTGCACCATCAACACCAAGTCAAATTCCTTTTAAGTGCAAACCTACTTCAATAAATTCTGATAATGGAGACGATCTACTGACATTATTATATATAATTTGATATCAAGTTTCTCAGGAGCCATGGCAACAGTCCCACACCCAAAAACACTAATAGCTGTTCTAGACTAAAGGGGAAAGCTGTCCACAGTCAGAGGGAGGAACGTGCAGCTGCAGATTTGACCTAATCTTATTAACAGGATTAACACTTCTTAAGGGTTAGTAATGTCACCCTACAGTGAGAGAATGGATGAGATCTGGTTGCTTTTGAGTTGAAGGCATTAAGTGCTGTAACCCTAAAAGAAACCTAAAACTGAAGTCTGTAATTAAAATCTGTATAGCTGATTTCATTTAGAAAACGTGTTCTCTTTTAAAGAACAAAATTATACTATATTATAAGCAAAAGAGAGTAGAAGTATAGTTCTGAAGAAATGTAATTCTGGTTTAAGATATAATATTATGTTTATGCCAGTCAGAGATATGGTTTTCTCCTTGATCCCCCTACTTTTAGTATCTAAAACTAACTCTGTCTTGCATTTCACAAATATACCAAATCTTATGTGGTATCATAAAACTTTCCTTTATATATCAGTATGAGCTTTTAAAAACCACATTATTGCAGTTTCTTTTAACCAGTATTGTGAATTTACTTTCATTTTAATGCTCTTTTGCACTTACCACAAGCAGATATTTCACTTGAGGATTACATTTATTCATAACCTTCAAAGTTTCCTTGTACAGAGTCCATTGTGGATGAACTTTACTGTTACTGATGTGTGGAAAAGTGCTGACTTCTACTTGCATCAATGCACCAGAATGCCTTCCTTTAGCTGGCCATGCAAAAGTAGTGTAAATCTTCTTTTCTCTCCATAAGCAGGCTTTGTGTAACTAACATTCAGTTATACACCACGGCCAATATGATCTGACTAGAACACTCTCTTTAGTGCTGCTTAAACTTTATCTGTCTGTCTGCATTTAGTTTGACTATGTTGTTGGGTTCTGAAACGTCACTGCAAGCAAATGCTTCACATGTGGCGAAATGAAGGAAAGTTAAATACCCAGACGGTGTCTACAGTTGAACATACTCTGCATCATTTGCCGAAGCCAGACAAAAATTAAATAATTTTTTTTTTTTTTTATGACAATGAACATGTTAAAAGATTTTTTACAACATGTCAAAAAAAAAAAATCGTTTACAAATTTTATTGTTACAAACAACAGCTCTAGTCAACTCCACGGTCTGGCTTTTGATTCTATTTTTTATTATTTTCTTAAATCCGTGTTCACAAATGATATTGTTCAATGATTCTATGTCAAGAAGTATTTCTAACAGAGAGTCTGTGTTGTGACCTGGGAAAACTGATTGATAATCTCTAGCCTTCTCTGTTTAGATCTATTTATTATCAATCTGGTCCAATCAAATCATATATGGACAGGGGGCCATTCAGCAGAACACGACACCCTGTGTTTGTTAAGTTTGTTTTGTTTTGCTCAATCACGGTTACAAATGAATGAATGTTGTTAGCATCAAACGCCTAAACAGGAAATCAAGAATGATCATGTGTAGCGCTTCAGGTTTATTTCTATTCAAATGCAAAGTTTGTTTTGCTAAGGCTCAATAAATAAAGGCTAAATCAAAATTAATATATTTCCATAGACACTGGATCAATATAAATGGACAATATGTCTGATAAAATTTTGGAATACCGCTGAACTCTGTTCACAATCATGTGATATTCTGGGTAATGTGAGCAATCTCTCATGGCCAATCTAAGGAAGGTTGCCAGTAGGGCTGAAAGCTTTTTGGAGGTTTAAAGGAGAAGTTCGGTTTTTTACACTTTAAGCCCATTTTCTGTAGTGTCCAGGATGAAATCGAATGAAGGACACCAAAATTTTGACAATTGCTCCTGTCTCTGCTTTTTGGCTCATTTAGAATCACCCCCTGGCTGCTTTACTGTAGAATGGCTAGCATAGAGCATGTCCGATAATGTCCTTAA